CAACGCTTCCAGTAGTAAATGGCTGGTATTAAATCGACCTACTACATCAGAGCCAGTCGGAAGACACATCTGCCTTGGGTCAATTATATAGACCTGTGAACACCCCTATAGGAGCGCCAGACAATGCCAATAAAATTGACTGGATTCTAGTTCATCAGACTTCACCACAACCCACAAACGAGACATCGAGGAAATTCTATAAACCACATGGTTAGACGGTCAACATGGTCAATGTACACTCCGGATGGGGAAATGCGGAAACGGGGAAACGGGGAAAATTGATTGTTTGGTTTGTTTAGTTAAATATCGATAATTCTAGATACACTGTGGCTCCTGGAATGGCCCATAGTAGCGGTTAATGTTGACCCGAACTCCATTAATCTAACTCAACCTAGCCATACGCCAGTCTAGGCGACTTCAGATTGAGTTTAGCGGGGAACACGATGAACTATCGGTGTGATTACAGCTCTAGGAAAAACCAGCGGAGGCCCTTTACAGCAATACTGTATTGGGCAACCTCCAGCAACCCAGTGCTGCCAAGACCGAAAAATATCAGCACTATATTCGGTTCGATATAAGTGACGACCTTTATACTGTTATACTATAACAGAATTATCACAATCATTATATTCAGGAGTCTGTGTGTAGAGATAACAACTTCTTCCCGAGGCCACCGTAAGACCAAGCGACAACCAGACATACCCATTTTAAAGAGATTTCGGCATCACAAACACCACTGTTATCTGCTGGCATATTGGTGGGCGTGTGCCCGGAAGAAGTGTCGAGACTGGGAAGCGCCTCGCCATGTCTCGTAGGCAGAAAGTCCGAGGCCATGGGTGTCCTGGGTATGGCCGTGGCCACAGCCAGCCAGAAAAAGTCAAACTCTGCGGTCCCTTAAGGTTGGAAAAGTCCAGCATATTACCTGTATATGGCTGTGCCTCATCAGCTAGCATCTGCACAAGCTGAAACTTACCATTGAGCACATGGGACACTGCGGCTCACTAGCTTTGCACCATTCACAAGTAGTTCTACACTGCAGCGCAGCGCAATTTTATTGAAATCCAAAACCGAGACTCCTCGGGAATTAGCTTTGCCAGTTCACTCACTCTTTGCTGGCTTCAGCAGATCCGACCCCTCCCTATAACAATCGTTGGCTCCCTTCATCGTTCCTCCTACTGGTCACGGTGGTATACCTTGGCGTGGCGGCGGACTCTTCAGTACTGCGCAAACTGTTACATATATTACAACGGAGCAGAAACACATAGCTATATTGAATATCCTTGTGATTGCCTTGGGTCTTGTGTGTACCCTCGGAGTTGCCATTCATCATGGACCAAACCACGGTCCCCGTGAACCATGTGTAATGTCGTGTGGTATTCTTTTTATTGGCTCTCTTATTGGTATGGCTCGGCATACTATTGGATATTTTGGGTTACAGAGGTGGGCATGGGCCAGAATTGACTTTGATTTATAATATAGATAATACTAATATGTCTATAAGTTGTAGAGATCCCACGTATCCCATATTCCCGCCGGATATGCTGGCGAGTAAACCTATATGGTAGCATCCTCATACCTACTATACGCAGTCCAACGGAACAGTAAGGTTATTAGTTTCGATCCGCCCTTTACCTCTTCCAAGCAGCTCACTGGTATTTAGGGCAGAGCACTGAATAAGTTACGTGAGGTGGAGTCTGGCGGGCATGGACTTGGAAAAGAGATTATAGATACTATAATTCCTAATGCTGACGATGAAATCCTCGGACAAAATAAATCACTAGATATTTCGCTCGCTGCAGCCTTCTTCGATCAGTTAGATACAACACCCATGTTTGATCTGTATAGCTGGTGCCAACATTCAATTACACTTGCGAGCACTAATGACAGGCATGGTTCTGGGAATCCATACCAAGACCGGGCTATAGCTGACGCATTTTGGTCGGTGTATAAAATTAAACTCGGTTGGTGGGTTTTTGTACTGATAAATGTCACAAGAACTTCGAATCTAACTCTAACCTATTGTTGGGAGATTTTGCCCCTTGGTTCACGACTTGAAAGACCTGGAAGGGTCGGTAGAAGATTATACATGCCATAGCGAATTCTTACCGACTGGATGGGTATGGAAATGCGTCTTATACCACACTTGCTATGTTTAAAACGGCGCGCGATACCGGCTTAAGGACAGAAGAAACTGCATACCTGGAATCGATTGCAACTATTGGACTCCTATCTAACACCGCCCTTGCAATATTCTGGTTTCTTTCTGAGTTATATTCGCGGCCGAAGCTGCTCGCTGCCATTCGCGAAGAAGTTGAACGTGTTGTGCCGAATATCATTGAAAATGGGGTACACACCATCGATGTATCCAGTATCCGTAGTAGCTGTCCGCTGTTGATGCCAACATTCCAGGAGATCCTACGCATGAGGGGAACATCTACTTCGGTGTGGTCCGTCATGAAGGCAGTGTTACTTGCCGACCTGTATCTTCTAAAATCTGGATCTATGCATTACACCACACTGATAATAAAGCTTAGTACTCTTCTAAGCGGATTTTATTAGATGCTGTGGATATACTACACTATGTATATAGAATGTGTGGAAGAGGTGGATATATCTTAGAGTAGAATACTAGTATTATACTGGTTACCTGAGAGGACGAATAGATTCAATACTATATTTCAAACTTACTATATCTCTGATTTATTAACCCCTGAGCGACCTGTATAAAATATCCTCTGGGTAAATATAAATCCTAAATTTTATCTTTTTTTTTAAAAAGAAAAATATAGTTCGATAATAAAATGAAGTTTGAGCGGCCGGCCTCATGTATAGTTAGTAGGATTATCAAGAATCAATCAATCGTAATCGAGTAATTAGTAAATAGATAGTCAGATACAGTGCAATGAAATCGTAATATTACTCTATACTATTACTTACTTAAAGGCAGAGCAGTCTAATAAAGGATGATAATCCAGGCGAGTCTATCTCTACCAAGCTATGTAATGGTTAGTCGCATTTGACTTAGGAAGGCGAGTAGATCTCGCCTCGGTTCTACCTTTACAAGATGAGCCAGACTTGCCAGTGGATAGGACAGAATTCATGCATTCGCGGCCATCAATGCGTAAACCTCCTGGGCAGCTTTTGGGATCTTGCCCTTTTCGCTACCCTCCTCGATATCGATCATCTCATTAACAAAGTCACAAAGTGTGGCCACCAGGTAGTCCACCTCTTTCTCCGTATTTTCAGCATGAATCATGACCCTGACCCGCGACTTGCCTTTGGGAACCTGCGGATAGTCAATGGGAACGACCGCGATTTTTGCTAGTTGCAGGTGAAAGAAGAGCCACCAGTTGTACTTTTGTCGGGTCCATATTGGTACGATATGCGTCACAAAGTCCAGTGACTCATAGTCCTCAGCCACAGGAATAGACAAGATACCCATATCGCTGGCCTTGTCCCAGATCTCGCTAGAGGTGATGGATTTGAAGAAGTATTTGACAAGGTGTTGTATGTTGTCTTGGGCCTAGGCTTTTTGTTATCCTCGGTTCTCCAGGTACTCTAACCAATAATTGCATACCTTTTGTGTGGCACCAGTTCTCATCAGATTATATGCTGCGCGGATAACCGCAACTGACGGGAAGGATGGGGCTGTGGTGTTGACCAATGACCCAGCATAGTTGAGCATCATGTTTCGGACGGTGGCATTTCCCAGAACCACAGCTTTTAAATATTGCGTTAGTTATACCGTTTGAATGACTGTGAGGAGGTACCGAGAGGTCTATTGATCTTACATCCAGTACAGGCCAAGGCCTTGCCGCAGGTATTCAGTCGAATTGCAACTTCATTTTCCAGACCTAGCAGCTTGACGAGACCGACGCCTTTAGGGCCCACGACCCCAGTGGCGTGGGCTTCATCAGCAATAAAAGCGAAGTTCCCCTTGGGACAGATCTCCCGAGCAATCTCCAGCATCTCGACCAGAGGGCAAACGTCGCCATCCATGCTGTAGACTGACTCTACGGAAACGAGGATCGAGCGTGAGCCGTCCTGAAGCATGGGCTGGGAGTCCATGGTGGAGGACATGACCTCTCGAAAGGCGTCGAGGTCATTGTGGCGGAAAGCAACCTTGGTGGTGGCCAAGGAGGCAGCCATACCGGTGTGCGTGCTGAAGTGAACCAGCTCATCGTATACAATGGCATCCCCGGGTCGTGGGATAGATGTATAAATGGCAATATTTCCGTTAGACCCGGAGTTAAACATGAGCGCCGTTTCAGACCCGAGGAAGTCGGCGATCTCCTGCTCCACCTCCTCGATATAGTCATAGTTGCCGCCCATAACGCGGGATCCCCCCGAATGCAGCGAGAAGTCCGGGTGTCTGGCTAGCTCTGCTAGGAACTCCCTGCGTAGTGCTCCTGTGAGTCCGAGAGAGAGAAGGTCGTTGGAGCAGAAGTCAATCGCATCTCCTGTTTTCCATGTGCTTTGTCCGCGGGTCATCAAAGATTGGGTTGACCGTCGAATATCTAAAGCCTCCTCGAGATTTCGGTAGAATATGGGGGCATCTTTCATACGGGGAGCGACCAGCTTCTGGCTCTTGATCCAGGAGACCATCTCCGAGACGACTGTGCCGTTAGCTGCCATGGTGCTGAGGTTGCGGAAGGAGAAAGCTTCAACAGATGTGCAGCGGACAGCGTAGTATCACCAGGCAAAGAAACTAAAAAAGAAAGAACGTTCAACAGGATATCGAGACAATATGTCCGGTCACATAATAGGCTCATCTACTGAGCATACTTCCTCATCGGCGTACCGGGCCGAGATGCTGTGGCTCGTCACCCGGACGGGTTCCGGCGTGCGAGCCGACGGGGCGCATGGCCGTTGCCGAACCCCAGCACATGGTAGACGTATGGAATGTTGTGGAGAACAACCACGTTGACGGTCATTTTAAACTCAAAGGTACAGATGGCTCGCCAGGTTATTGTAAAATAGACAACTTTCTCTTTATTTCCCCACAATTCACATCTATGACTATGTACGAAAGTAACGGCATCAATGGCCATGAGGTAACAGTGGGTTCGAAGATGATGAATGGGGCCACACTCAACGGACAGCAAACCAATGGTGTGCACACGAACGGCACAAATGGTACTTCGACCCACAGGGCCCATGGTAGTCGCCAAACCCCCATCGCCATCTGTGGTATGGCATGTCGTCTCCCAGGGGGATTGACGACGCCCGATGAACTTTGGGATTTCCTCCTCGCAAAGAAAGATGGACGATGCCGTGTCCCCGAATCTCGCTACAACATTGACTCATATTACTCAGATACAAAAAAGCCAGGGACAGTCTCAACCGAGTATGGATATTTCCTTGACCAGAGCGTCGACGTCGGAGCGCTGGATACCTCCTTCTTTAGCATGACGCGAACAGAGGTCGAGCGAGCCGACCCTCAGCAAAGACTCATGCTGGAAGTCGCACGCGAGGCTTTCGAAGATGCCGGTGTGACAAACTGGAGAGGCAAGACAATTGGCACCTATATTGGTAATTTCGGAGAGGACTGGCTGGAGATGTTCGGGAAGGAGACCCAGCCTTGGGGAATCCATCGTATCTCCGGCTCAGGAGACTTTGTTGTTGCTAATCGGTTGTCATATGAGTTTGACCTACAAGGGCCAAGGTATAACATTCCTTGAGATGATTGTTCCTAATAACGCGTTGGTGCTAATACGGTTGAATAGTATGACAATTCGTACAGCCTGTTCATCCGCCCTAGTGGCTCTAAACGAGGCCTGTGCTGCGATTAGCAGAGGTGACTGTGAATCCGCTCTAGTGGGTGGTGTCAATCTGATCCTCGCACCCGGAATGTCGATGGCGATGCAGGAACAAGGGGTTCTATCTAGTGACGGCTCATGCAAGACCTTCTCTGCTGACGCCAATGGGTATGCCCGTGGAGAGGCGGTTACAGCCATATTTATTAAGCCATTGGCCGATGCCCTGAGAGATGGCAACCCAGTTCGTGCGGTCGTGAGAGCAACATCCCACAACGCGGACGGAAAGACTCCTACACTGTCCCAACCTAGCACGGACGCACAGGAGGCTCTAATGAGGAGGGCATATGATCTCGGAGGTATTACTGACTACACGGAAACCGCCATGGTTGAATGCCACGGCACAGGTACGCCGACTGGGGACCCTATCGAGGCGAGAGCGGTGGCGCGGGTCTTTGGGGACAAAGGCGTCTACATAGGCTCCGTCAAGCCCAATCTGGGGCACACAGAAGCTGCATCCGGCCTTGTATCACTATTGAAGATGGTGAAAGCACTCGAGCATCGCACCATCCCCCCTAACATCAAATTCACTAGCCCCAACCCGAATATTCCGTTCGTGGACAGTAAGCTCACCGTTCCTACCGAGGCACTGCCTTGGCCGAAAGATAGACTTGAAAGGGTCAGTGTGAATTCGTTTGGGATTGGTGGTGCAAACGCCCATGTCATTCTAGAATCTGCTGCCACCCATAACGTTCCGGCTGCAGTTCACGAAACGCCGGAGACACCGCAACTTTTGTTGTTTACAGCCAACTCGTCGAAGTCAATCACGAGGATGATCGACAACTACAAGGAATGGGTGGAACGAAATCCGGACAAGGTCAGTGATCTGGCCTACACCTTGGCAAGGAGAAGGGAGCACTTGCCGTACCGCGCTTTTGCTATTGTCAGTAATGGTGTGGTTGAAAGCGTTTCACACCCTGTAAACTCCAAATCTGCGAAGCCACCAAGCGTGGTTATGGTCTTCACTGGTCAGGGTGCACAATGGCCCCAGATGGGACGGGAGCTGTTGCGGTCGAATGAGGTATTCAGATCTAGCATCCGATCTCTCGATCAACACCTGCAGACCATTGCCGGGGAGAAGCCTCAATACTCGATCGAAGAGGAGCTCAAGAAGACAGCTAAAAAGAGCCGTCTGTCATTGGCTGAGTTCTCTCAACCCCTTTGCACTGCTATTCAGATTGCACTAGTCGACACTCTCAAGTCCGCAGGGATTCGCCCAGACGCAGTCGTGGGCCATTCCAGTGGTGAGATTGCTGCAGCATACGCCGCCGGGGCGCTCACAGCTGGCGAGGCTATAACAGCTGCCCATCACCGCGGGGCAATCACAAGCAGACAAAAGAGAGCAGGGACAATGGCAGCTGTTGGAATGAGTTGGGAACAAACCGAAAAGTACCTCGTCCCAAGTGTGACCATTGCCTGTGATAACTCACCCAAAAGTGTTACAATCTCAGGTGACGTCGACGCTGTCAAATCTGTTGTTGCTGCTATTAAAGAGACACAACCGCAGATACTGGCTAGACTGCTCCAGGTTGACAAAGCTTATCATTCGTTCCATATGAAAGAGATCGGAGAGGATTACCAATCCTTGATTGGCGAGGAAGTGGTCGGGAGAGACCCTTCGGTGCTCTTCTTCTCAAGTGTGTCGGGAAATGTTCTTGGCCACGAGCACCCCATCCATTCGAAGTACTGGCGGGACAATTTGGAATCGCCGGTTCGGTTTCGCGAGGCCATCACTGCCATTTTGAAACATGACGTAGGGAGGAATGCAATCTTCCTTGAGGTTGGGCCTCACGGTGCGCTCGCAGGTCCACTGAGACAAATATTCACTCAAGTTTCTTCTCCTGCTCCCTATGTGTCTGTTATGGCGCGCAACCAAGATTGTAGCGCATCTTTCTTATCTGCCATTGGAGCCCTACATTCGCTCAATGTTGACGTTGATCTTCAGGCCCTCTTTCCCGCAGGTTCTTGTCTTTCAGATCTTCCGCGATACCCATGGAATCACGAGGGCAGTTACTGGTACGAATCTCGTCTCAGTAAGGAATGGCGCAGCCGCAGATTCCCATACCATGATCTTCTTGGTGCAAGGGTGGCTGAGAGCAGTGATAGTGAACCTGTCTGGCGTAACATGCTCCACGTTACAAACACACCGTGGATTCGTGACCACAAGGTCGGCGACAATATTGTCTTCCCGTTCTGTGGCTACATTGCCTTGGCAGGAGAGGCGGTCAGACAGTTGACAAATGTTAAGGGGGGATTCAGCGTCCGAAATATCATTGTCAGCACTGCGCTGGTGCTCAGCGAGGGGAAGCCGACAGAGATAATGGCGACATTCCGTCCACACCGATTGACGAACTCCCTGAATAGCGTATGGTGGGAGTTTGCCGTGTCAGCGTATAATGGGCGCAATTGGACAAGGCACTGTACAGGAGAGGCCTGCGCTCAGTCATCGGCACCGGGAAAGGCTGAGGATCCTGCTGCCTTGCCCCGGAAGCTCAATACGAGAAAATGGTATGAAAAAATGAGCAAAGGGGGCCTAAACCTGGGAGCATCATTCCAGACTCTTGAGACGATGACGACCTCAACTTTAGAGCAACGGGCTGTTGGCAATGTTGTTAATGGAAGACAGGGGGATGAAGCCAACTACCACATCCACCCTACCGTCCTTGATGCAACCCTCCAGATTCTGGGTGCTGCAGCAGTCAAGGGCTACGGACGCAAAACCAAAACCTGGCTCCCGACCAGCATCGATAAAGTCACCGTCTATGAGTGCCCCTCTGATATGATTACTAGCGTTTCTGCTACGCTGTCGAGCAACTTTTCGGTCGTTGGAGATGGCATTTGTATATCTGAGGGCACGACAGTTGTTGAAGCCGCTGGTATCCGGATGTCCCTTGCGGATGGTGCTGGTGTAGCGGACGTTTCAGACACACACGCCGCGTCGAGGTGTGAGTGGAGACCCGATATTGACTTCCTAGATATGCACGAGCTCTTTCGCGCACCAGTAAGCCGAAGGGACCACTTGCGTCTTCTAGGGGAGCTCGGGGACATCTACTTGCTCCTGTCTCAGTGGAACCTTTCAGAATTGGGAAACAATCCAACTCTGCCACATCTGCAGAAATACATGACTTGGATCAGGTCTCAATCCAGCTCGATTCCGTTTAGATTACCTTCAACTTGGACAGGCCTTGACAATGAGGCTATCTCGGCTCGGATCGACAATATAATGGGCCAGCTCGCAGATAGCACAGCAGTCCCGGTTGCCAATGCCATCCGTGAAGTCTGCACACAGATGGACTCCCTCTTGTCCGGCAAAGGCCTGGATAGTGTCCTCCCCGAGGGAGCTCTAACGCACGTTCATGAATTTCTCGGACAGCTAGACCGAAGGGAATTTATTCAAAGGTTGAGCCATTCCAAGCCAAACATCAAAATCCTTGAGATTGGAGCTGGAAATGGCGTGTCGTTGCACCGTGATATCCTCGCCGAATTGACGCGAACCAACGGGGAGATTCTGTGTGCCAAGTACACTTTGACCACCCCGGGCTACGTTGCGGCGACAACCCAAGAGAAGGCATTCCCCAATATGGAATTCGCTAGCCTGGACATCAGCGAGGATCCGTTCGAACAAGGATTTGACGAAGTCGGGTACGATCTCATTATAGCGGTCAACGCTCTCCGTGAAACGAAAAATGTCCAGGCAAGCTTGACCAACCTGAGGAAGCTCCTACGTCCCGATGGCAGATTGCTACTGCAGGAACTTTGCCCGTCATCCAGATGGGTCCAGTATGTGCTCGGCGTGCTACCGACATGGTGGTCGGGCCCTGTCGATAGGCCAATTGAGACGGCATACCTGCGCAAAGAAGAGTGGGAGACAGAGCTTTCTGCTGCCGGCTTTGGCGATATCGAGGCTGTGGCTCTGGATTCAGAAGAGCCTCACCAAACTACCATTACGATGGTAGTAAGGCAGGTCCGTGAGACGCCAATGAAGAAGGTTACAGTTCTTTCTGAGGAGGAAGGGCCTGCTGTCACACACATCTTGACTCAGCTCGAGAAAGAGGGCTACCAGGTGACTAGATGTAAATTAGGGGATGAGCCTCCAGCTGGACAAGATGTGATTGCGCTCCTGGACGTCGACCGGCCCTTTTTCCACGAGATTGATGAAGCACGCTTCCTCTCATTCAAGGCCTTCCTCCTCGGCCTTCAAAGCCGCGACGCCGGCATGCTCTGGGTGACTCATCTCATTGATATAGGATGCCGTGATCCACGATATGCACAAGTTCTCGGCCTCGCCAGAACTATCCGTACAGAGCAGCTGGCCAATTTGGCGACCTGTCAGGTCGACAGCTTCGACAATCCGAAATCCGTCGAGCAACTACTCCAGGTGTTTTCCAAGTTTCAGCTCCGGGAAGGCGACGAGGAGCTCAACCCCGACTTCGAATGGGCCATTTTCAATGACCGAGTTCAAGTCGCACGCTTCCATCCCTTCGTCTTGGCCGACGAGCTTTCCGTCTCGGAAGATTCGAACGAGATGGCCACACTGAATGTGCGTACCCCTGGGCGGGTGAACAGTCTACATTACGCGCGTCATCAACGAAAGGATCTCGACAACGACGAAGTGGAGGTCGAGGTGTACTCCGCCGGTCTGAACTTTCGGGCAAGTTTATCGACGAGATTTCCCAGCGCATATGGCATGTTACTGACAAGAGAGATTAGGATATTCTGGTCGCACTGGGCATTGTTGAATTGCCGGTCCGTCTCTTCGGAATCGAAGCAGCAGGCATCGTCACGCGTGTTGGGGCAGACGTCAGCCCCGACGACCTTCAAGTGGGCGATCGGGTCGTTTGCTTTTGCCGGAAAGACGCCTTCTCCACATATACGACCACACTTGCTGCTGTTTGCGTGCGGATTCCGGACAGCCTCACCTTTGACCAAGCGGGAACGATGCTTATACCGTATTTTACTGCCATTCACTCCATGGTCAACGTCGGACGCGTCACAAAAGGCCAGGTAGGCGGCACAGAATACCCCATGTTATTGTGTGCTATAGAAATGCAGTGACTGACCAAACATCCCTGTATAGTCCGTCCTGATCCACAGTGCGTGTGGTGGAGTGGGCCTGGCAGCTATCCAGGTGGCCCAGATGCTGGAGGCCGATGTGTATGTCACGGTTGGCAGCGAAGAGAAGGTTAAGTATTTGATAGAGAACTACCACATCCCGCCAAACAGAATCTTCCACTCCCGTGACAACTCCTTTGTGGATGGTGTGATGCGAGAGACAGACGGCCGTGGAATAGACTTCATTCTCAACTCCCTCTCGGGCGAGCTGTTGCACGCGACGTGGAACTGCGTGGCTGAGTTTGGCACTCTACTGGAGATCGGAAAACGCGATCTGATCGGCGATGGTAAACTCGACATGAAGCCATTCCTGGCGAACCGCAACTATTGTTGTGTCGACATTGATGGACTTTGGAAGAGAATCCATGTCGCAAGAGCATTGATTTTCTCCATCTTGGACTTTTACAACAAAGGATACATTTCGCCACTCCCGACGAAAATATTTCCCGCAGGCCAGACGCAGGATGCATTCCGATTTATGGAGAAGGGTCAACACATTGGTCGTGTCGGCGTTTCGTTCAAGCCAACCGAAGGGGAGACCCACCTGGGATTGGAAACCACCAAGAGGACTTTAACGATTGCTTTTAACGAGTCAGCCTCTTACCTCATGGTTGGTGGCCTTGGCGGTATTGGTCGAGCCGTATCCACCTGGATGGTCGATCACGGTGCTCGTGAGCTCGTCTACCTCTCCCGTAGTGCTGGCCTCACGCCCAAAGACGATGACTTTGTCGCCGAGCTTCACAGCATGGGCTGCGCCGTCAAGCTTGTGAGTGGGGATACCACGAAACTGGAGGACGTGAAGAAAGCCATGGGTGCAGCGACCTATCCCCTCAAAGGTATTGTACAGATGTCCATGGTCGTCGCCAACGAGAACTTTACGAGGATGAGCTTCGATGAATGGATGGCGTCGACCGCACCCAAAGTTCAGGGAACCTGGAACCTCCACAATGCTTCCATGGATGCGGGGATCGATCTAGATTTCTTTGTGATGTTTAGCTCGGTCTCCGGCATCGTTGGACAAGCTGGCCAAGCTAATTATGCCAGTGGAAACAGCTTCCTCGATGCGTTCGCCCAGTATCGTAATGACCTGGGCCTGGCGGCGTCCGTCGTTGACATGGGGGCTGTGGAGGACGTTGGATGGATTTCTGAGCACCAAGGCATGATGGGGAAAATGTCCAGGAGTGGTTTCAAACCTGTCCTGGAGCAGGAGGTCATCGATGCAATGGCCATATCCATGTTAGTCCATAACAAACCAGGTCCAGCCGTCGACGAAGCCCTTGCGGTTGATGCAAAGAACGCTTCTTATTTCGTGCACAAGAATACGTTCCTCGTTGGGCTTGCTTTGCTCATTCCATTGCATGACCCCAGCAACTACGTGATCTGGAAGAAAGACCGTCGCATGGCCTCCTATCACAACAATTCTGCGGTTGTCACGACCACCGCATCGACAGATGTTCTGAAGTCATACCTGAGCAACGCTAAAGCGGACCCTTCCATTCTCCAGTCGCCAGAAGCCGCGAAGCTCTTTGCGGTCGAGATTGGCAAGAGACTGTTCGATCTGTTGCTGAAACCTCACGAGGAGCCTAATACGAGCTCGCCATTGCTGGACCTCGGTCTTGATTCTTTGGTGGCTCTCGAATTGCGTGCTTGGATCAAACAGGTCTTCTCGTTCGACCTTCCCATGCTGGAAATGATGAGCATTGGCTCTCTTGACATTCTGGGTCAATATGCGGCAAACGAAGTTTATCGAATCGCGATAGAAAACAACGAGAGTTAAACCGTCGCTCGTGCGAATTGCACTGGCAAAGTCTACGTTGCAGCATGCTGCTACTTGCTGGAGGCCAGCCTTCAGCGCGCGTCGGCATAACCTCTACCAGTGCCCTACTGGAGAGTCACGTAAGGAATTGGTTAAAGTATTCCACACACCTATTCAGGCTTCCTCTACATTCTTTTGGTCCTGCTCAAACTGTACATTCTCATTGTCAGAAATGCCCTGTATGTAGTTGTTTTGAAGGCTTCATAATAACATTCTTCGTTCATGATACGCTTAAAGGGAGTTCCTCCGCGTAGTCTAAGGGGTAGGTAGAACTAGAAGACATCTGAATTGCAGGAATGCCGATTGGTCAATGATGTAGGAAACGAGTTCCCTCGCAAAGAGCATAGTTCTAGAGCCTCGGCTCAAGACTATCCCATAGTCTTTGTACCTCTTGGATTCTGATCTGCAGGTTTGGATAACAGACCAAAGATACGCCTGGGAGGCCACATGTCTCGCCTTCAGTACCGACTGATGCACCCAGGTGTCCACCATTTCCAACCATGCTCTTTGTCGGCAAGGGGCCGAGTTGCACTGTACAACATTGGTCGAGAGAAAGGACGGAGCAGGCTGCACATGCTGTCCGCACCAGCCGGGCGATCGGAATCCGGAAGCCCGGACGCATCAGGGAACGGGATCCGAGTCTGACGAGCGTGATCATTCAGTGAAATAGCCCCTATGACACCATGGAAGTGCCTATTCATAAGATCGTATGCGGGAAACGGGGATATCGAAGTCACCTTAGCAGCTCCCATATTCTCTATCCTCCATATATCCTGGGGAACTTCCAGAACTCAGAATGTGGCGAGTGCCAACAGACGTCCCACAGGTCGCCGTCCCCAATGGATTGAAGCTGGCGGAGGTGACCGTCGACACCCCGTTGGATGAAGTGTTCAAGCACTGGAAGGAAAGCGGCGGCGTCATCCTGAAACACATGCTCACCACTGCCGAGGCGACCCAGATCACCACCGAACTCGAATCCCGCATCGACTCCGTCCAACGGGGCTCCCGAGTGCCCCATCCCGACCTGGCAGCCTTCCACGGCACCAAAACGAAGCGGGCAGGCGACCTCATCAATCACAGCGCCACGTTTCGAGAGCGGATCCTCGAGAACGACTTCATCCATGCCATCTGCAAGCGCTGCTACAGCGAAGGTGGACATAACGGAGACTACTGGCTCTCGGCGGCGACCACCCTCCATGCTTCCGGACCGCAGCCCGCGCAGGTCTTGCACCGCGATCTGACCTCCTATCCACCATACGCCCAGCTCGGACCGGACTGCACGGAACCACAGATCAACTTCCTCTTCGCCTTCTCCGATTTCACGGATGACAATGGCGCCACCCGCATCATACCCGGAAGCAACAAGTGGCCCTTTCACCAACGCGGGAATATGAAGCAGACAATCCCGGCGGAGATGCAGACGGGGGATTGTCTCCTGATCGGGGGCAAAGTCATTCATGCGATGGGTGAGAATAAAACGGAGCTGGAACGGAAATGTATCCAGCTGACGGTCATCCCGAGCTTTCTGACCCCCGCGGAAGCACATCCGTTCATTATCAAGCTAGAAACCGTGCGGAAGTTGTCCAAGCGGGCGCAGCGTTTCGTGGGGTTTCGATCGCAGTATCCGCGCGGCTCCCCCGGCCTGTGGACCAAGGATTATATTGAATTGGCATTGCACTTGGGTTTAGATGATCTGCAGGGGGCTATGGAGGATTTGCAAGAGGTTCTCAACCAGCCCAAACAATGGGATACGATTGATTATGACAAGATGTGAGAATTGTACATAAGGCTACTCTAGACTGGGCTACTGGGAATGATATACTCTATTGAACAGCTTGGTAGAGGCTCGGTGTATCCATTTTCCAACTATTCCTCGAAGCGCTGGTTTCCGAGATCTTGCGACTTGAGATCGATCTCCTCCACGAACAGCGAAGTCACCAACCCCAGTCCACTAAGTCCCGTCATTGTGTAAAAGATCGTCTGGAAGCACTTCAGATAAACCCGGAGAACCTGGTCCAGCGTTCCAACTGGAACATCTAGTGACCGGAGCTTATCAATAAAGGCGACCGCATTGGCAGCGTCCTGGAGAGGGGTCAGCGAACCGGTCAGTGGAACTGTCGTGGCGGACATCGAGGTTGAGAAGACCGTGTTGAAAATGGTGGAAGAGATCGTGAGGCCGACGAGACCTCCGAACATGCGGATGGTGAGAAATTGTCCAATCGCCAGGCCGGTGTCGTCGACGTTTTTCACGCTCGCTTGCATGGGCAGCAGATTGAGACGCAGCAACGCAACACCGGCTCCCCAGAGAATGGGCAGTCCGAGGCGCATGGAGGCCGACGATCCGACGTTGAACAGGACCAGCAAGCCCGTTCCCAGCGTGAGGATGACCCATGCCAGCCGGAGAACCCATACATAGCCACCGAACAACGGAACCATCATCATGGAGGCCGCTGCCACTACCACACTGATGATGACGGTGGGCAGCAGGGAGACAGCGGATAAGATGGCTGTTTCGAGTTGGACGGCTTGGTACAGCAAGGGTAAGTACTGCAACAGCGAGACCAGAACCGCGCCATGGAGGAAGCCTCCCGCTAATGTCATATTTCCCGTCTTCGAGTGGAAGAGTCGATGGGGAACAATAGGCGCTGCGGGTTTCGCCTCGTAGAAAGCAAAGATGACCAACACCGCAACCCCGAGGAACATTGGGACCAGAGTTTGCCAGGAAGCCCATGGAAATAAAGAGCCCGCCCAACTGAGCGGTAACACGAAGATCGTGATCCCGACAACGACCAACGCCATGCCAATCCAATCCAGACGGTTCAGATTCTTAGCCAGCGATGCATCGAGGGGGACCGGCCGGAGCTTGAGGAAGAAAAACACCAACGGTGTACCGATTCCCAGCAACGGCAAGTTGACCCATCCGATCCATCTCCAGCTCGCATAATTCGCGAACAGGGCCCCCACCGAGGGCCCCATGATGTTGCCAATCGCCATGGGAATAGCCATCAAGCCAAGGTATTTCGAGCGTTCCTCCAGAGTCGTCATATCCGCGAGAATCACCTCCGCCAGCACGTCAATTCCCCCCCCGCCGAACCCTTGCAGTACACGGCCGACGATGATTGTTTTCATATTTTGGGCCACGGCAAAGACGATGGATCCGATGAAGAACAACGCCATGGAGACATACAGAGGCGGTTTCCGACCGAACGCGGTAGAGATACTGGCCCACACCGGTTGCATGACCAGACCACAGAGGGTATAGGACAAGTTCGCCCAGAAGGACTCTAAACTCTCGCCCTGGAGATCCGCAGCTATGGTCTACCGACAAGGTTAGTCGACGGGCGATTCACGACCGCAAGAGACAAGAGGGCATGGCTCACTGGAAGGGCAATTCCGAGGGCTGTTGCATCCAATTGGAACACAAACATGCTGGCAGCCAGGCCGATAAAGGCCAGTTTAAAGGCCAGCGATTTTTTGGGGGACCGCTCGACATCATCCTCGCCGCTTCTCTCAGTCGGAACCTCCGTCCCGCCAGTCTTTGTCTCTGTCGCGGTCACGGTCTCTGTCTCTGGCTTGGCTTGCTTTTCCGATATGGACTGCGAAACTGATTCTAGTCGAACTGCGGGTGTGGTACCCGTTCCGGCACTAAGCTCGGCTGGTCCCATGCTTGGCTTGATAGTTAGGTTTTTTTTTTACTCTCAGGCCACTGTTGCCTTAGGGCTCTAGCTGGATCACAGACACACTCGAAGAAAAAAATTGAATTCGCGCCGTCAATTATGGACATGCGATGTTTGCCGACGGAGAGGTGTCAACAAGGGTGTGCTGCAGCTGAAAGAATCTTTGAGCAGCCTGAAAAAAGCTCGAATAGGAGAATCATTGGCCCCTGGGCTTGGTTTCTTTGTCCCAGTGGTCGGATTCCGGATCAGATATTCTTCCGGATGGTTTTGTCGATCTGACTCAGCCGAATCCTGGACAGTCATTGGTCCTGGGGAATGAAGGGAGGCAATTGAATGAATGACGAGACGAATGAGTACGGAGTATAGTAAGGTGGGTTCCTCTCTTCATGCAGAGAGATGTCGATCACGCTGTGTGTTTGGGGTGGAGGAGGAGGATGGAGCACAAACCACACACTAGAAAGTTGCGTCGGTCCACACGGGTTCCGTCGCCCGCAGCGGCGGCCCGGGCGGTGTGGGTACGGTGGGGCATACCCACCTACTAGGTAGCGATGATCACCATCAACAACAACAACAACAAGCAGAACATCATCTCTTGCTTCTCAAATCCTGACTGTTCCATGCGAGGCAACTGTCATGGTCACTGTTCGCTCGGGCAACAAGGCGGCCCCTCTGCAGACCGTCCCAACCGACACGATCATTCCCTTTCATTACTGGGATGACGACCATCATACTCGCGGCCTTTCTTTCGATGTCACTTTCCGCTTCGATGACATCCTGGACCCTGAGAAGCTGCGGTGTGCCCTATCCCGACTACTCGAATTGGGGGACTGGCGAAAGCTTGGGGCCCGAATCCGAAGGAACGCAGACGGAGGGCTGGAATACCATGTGCCACAATGGTTCGACGACAAACGGCCTGGCTTCGCATATTCCACGGTCGCATATGATGATATGAACGTGGCCGATCATCCAGAAGCGTCGCACTTAGCTCAACCTCACCATTTGGATGCCGCGGGTCGCCCGTGTGTGCTGGGCCTTACGGAGACGATGACGCCCGAGTTCCGATCGTTTATCCGGACTCCCATGTTCCCCGATCGCTTGGAGGGTTGGCTAGGTTCAGACAGCCCCCAGCTAGGGGTTCGCATCATCACCTTCCAGGACGCAACTCTCGTGACCGTCTCTTTCCTTCACAGCCTGATGGACATGATGGGTCTGGATGCGGTCCTGACCGCCTGGTCGGCAGTGCTGCGCGGACGAGAGGATGAAGTGCAGCCGTTGGTGGGGTTCGCTCACGATCCAGTAGCCGGCCTCGCCGAGTCAAAGGCGGAACCGCCGCCCACATACGTCTTTACGGACACGCTACTGATCGGATTGACATGGTTCTTGTTTGCAGTACGGTATCTTCTCACGGTGGAGCTGTTTTGGCAGCACCGGGAGGAGGAACGAGTCATTTTCCTACCCGCCAAATACCTGCATCAGATGCGAGATAAGGCGATAGGGGAGCTTGCATCCCGCGACGCCAGCGACGGCGGCAACCCTCTTTTCCTTAGCGAAGGAGATGTTCTCTTTGCCTGGTGGACCCGGGTCGTTCTCCGAGCCGAAAGGCCTAGCCTCAGTCGCACGGTGAACCTGCGGAATACATACTGTTGCCGGTCCATCTTAGCAGAGCTGGGCCACCTACCATCCGCTACCTGTGCATTGGTTACGAATGCCGTCTTCGCGACCCTGACGTTCCGTTCGGTGCGCCAGATCCTCGAAGAGCCTCTCAGCGTGACCGCATCAGAAATCCGCCGGTCTCTGATCCAACAACGCAACGCCGAACAACTCCACGCACTGGACACCATCCAGCGAAATACTCTGGACAACGCACATCATCCAGCCCTATTCGGAAACCCGAGTATGTACATGGTCATGATTTCAAATTGGGTCAAAGCCAAACTGTTCCAGGTAGATTTCTCCGCCGCCGTCGAACGAGAAGGCATGGCACTGGACCAGCGCAGCAATCCGCTGGGCAGGCCATCTTGTATCCAAGGAACTGGGACCAAAGGCTACGCCACGCGAAACACGGGCGTGGTGATCGGAAAGGATGCGGCGGGGAATTTCTGGTTATTGTACAGTCTCCGGAAAGGCATCTGGCCGGCCGTCGAGCAACAACTCCAGTCTATGTCTGCAGGCGATGGACTACTATAATCCTCGACGACCTGCGTTGGGGCTAGCCCATTTGTTCATATCTTACAAACACTGAGCTCTGAGTACCGTTCGATTCGGCTAAGACTAGAATTCCACCTCACGCGCCAGGCCCCGTAGGATTCTTCCATACATACATACATACATACATAGATATATATATATGCACTTCTCACCGTACCTTGTGGCCACCATCTTCCCGACACATCCTCTCCCACCTCCTCCTCAATACCGGCACCACGAACCACCCCATCACCACACTCAACAACGAATCGATGATCCCAAGCCCGCGCTTGGGACTCAATCCCATCATATTCGTGAACAAGAGGCTCGCGGACAGCGAATCCTCGCAGATAATAAAATCCCCTTGATCGACCCGCGCCACGATGCCCTGCGCCACGTGCTCGGAGGACGGAAATTTCTCCTCCAGCTCCGCGAAGGTGGCGACATTCGTGCCCTGGATGCGCTTCGTGAGGTCCGGTTTGGTGTCCTGCTCGAGGACAAACCCCGGGGAGATGAAGTCGGCCGGGAAGGCGATGTGGACAGTGTAGGTGGTGTGGGCGGTGTTGTGGCGGAGGACTTCGAAGCGGAGCGTGTCGGCGAGGGCTCGGACGGCGCTTTTGGCGGCTGCGAAGGGAGAGACCATGTTAGCCAGAGGAGGACGGCAAATTCCACAGCAGCAAAGGAAGATCATCGGCTTACGCGTATACGCCACGCTCCCGGGTAACCCCAAGAAGGCCGCCGCACTGTTGACGAAAACAATCCTCCGGGTCTGGGGCCGAGTGGTGTTGTTGGAGAGATCGATGCCCGCCGATTTCTGATCATGCTCCACCCAGAGATCTAACATAGCTTTGGCGGCATACGCAGTGGAATAATAATTATTTTTCATGCAAGAATCCAGCTGCGTAGCTTGAAGATCGATGAAAAACCCGTTCTCCGCGTGGTTGCCCCCGGCGGAACAATACAGGAAATTCGCGATTCGGGGTTGGGACCGGAATGCTTCTGCAACCTATCTGCTGGTTAAGGGGGAAAAGCTCCTTTGCAGAACGCTCTCTGAGCGTGTGGGTTTCTCGGGCTGGGAGCCACGTACCGCAGAAGCATCCGCCAGATTCACCGCAACAGCATTGATCTCTTGTCGACCCGCATCCACACAGTTCCGGACTATCTCATTCTTTGCATCTGCTAGGGGACCGGGTCGCCGCGCGAATATGGTGACATGGGCACCTTCCCTTGGGATCAGTGAAAGTTGAGGTGCTCTACCGGGAGGGTTCACACAAACCACGCGCCGCAAGGATGTTGGAGATCGCTTTTCCTAATCCACCAGAGCCCCCCGTTACAAAGGCAGTCTGCGAATCTGTCAACGAGGCTCCGTATCGGCCGAAGACGTCTGGACATACCTTGCCGATAAGATCCTGATCGAGTTTCATCCTGTCGTTCCACCCCGTTCCGTGGAAGCTCGTGAGGAAAGATCCCGCGAGGGCGCAATGTTAACTTCTCGCGACGTCCGGATTGCAAAACCCCGTTCGGTCGATCTTGGTCCAGCCGCATGGGTAATATGAATGAATCCTGATGCCGGAACCACCGGCGAATACAAGGAGCCAGTCGGAGCCGTCGCCGGCCTGACCAAGTGGGCGCTGATCTGGCGGGTCCCGTCCCCGGACACGAGGGCAAGACAAAATCTTACCTCGTCTTCAAATAAGCCCTGTTCGCGCCGTCGGGATCGTCGATCTGATAGCACGTTGGCTTTTCCTTTCGGCCCAACCAACGTTGCATTCCAGAACCCCAACATATCCTCGGTCCGTCACCAATGGCGGCTGTCGGAGTAGTCTCTTCTGCAAGGAGACGATTCGCGTCAGAGTCTGTTTCCCCTCCTGGTCTAGGTCTGACTTACCCCTCCAGCCTCAATCTCACACGACACCCTCAACCCCCTTATACGCAGTAAGGAACCACCCCCCCACCCACAAATACCCGAAGGCCAAGCATGTAGCCGATACTTTTAGCGCCTCTTGTTATTGGTTGCCCGAAATTAGAATCCACAGATATCTGCATTAGCGAGATCAGCATCATCCGAATGACCAATTGGCTGCGACATGGAAATCACGCCGAAAAACAGATGTGACTCCTAGGTGAGGGGGTCATAAGCCCTTGCTTGCGATAGAAAGATAGTAAGACAGTAAGATACGTTACGTCGACACCCTCCCTTCTACAGGACAATGGGAGAGGCTGACTGTGCTTGGAACGGAGTCAAAGCAATCTAGCTTACGGTTACCCTAGAAATGTTATTATTACTTTATTTTATTATCAAGTATGAACTTTCTGGATCATTGACTATCGACCTTAGGGTCTGAATATCTGAATGGATTCCTGCCGTCTTTTACCGCTTCCTAAATTTGAAGAACCTATTCTATCTAACCCTAAGTTGAGGTACTCTGGTAGACACACTGCAACCCCTCATCTATACCACCACGGGGTCGATACGGGCCAGCCGTGGCTGAGTGTAAAACGCCAAGGTTTCGGTAAATAACTAAAATAAAACTAAATCGTAGATTGACCATAGGCCCGAGTGAGTTGTGCCGTCAATCATCAGGGGGAAAAAAATAAGATTTATCGTCGGAATGTGCGGGAGGCCTGATTTCTCCACTCTTTCCCACTGCGAACCTTGTCCGGCCGAAACCCAGACGAAAAAACACTGACCCATTTTATCGTTGTAACGGCTGCATTGTCGCTCCAGGAAATACTGTATAAAAGTTACATTCGAGAATATTGAATTTTCATGTTGACTAAAATAGGATTTCGGTCAATCAGCCACGACAGAAGAGGATTCGATCTGCGATTGATGGGATTTAGCCGAGATAATACCAATATATATACGGGATATTTTATCCCCTAGTTCCTGATATACTTTGGTAAACATTGATCGCCTTCAGGTCCTAATAATTTTCTTTCCTTCTTTTTTTTCCTTTTTTTTTTTTTTTTTTTTTTTTTTTTTTTTTTTTTGTTCTTTTTTGTCTGTTCTGCTCAGAATGTATAAAGTCAGTAAATATGTAGAACAAAGTTTCTACATGCACTATAGAGTACAGGAATGTAACATATCGGCAAAATTCGTCTCAAACCCGGATATTATGCATGCAACATGGACAGCAGATCGAGAATGACAGAGAGCTCAACCCCTCTTAACGTCTTATCGAGC